CGGTGTGGGTTCGCCCCGTCTGTCCTATCAAACATCTATCGTTCAGATCTCTCCTTCACTTTTAAAAAAACATTGTTTTTGTTTTGTAGCAACTCTAATTTTCGGCACTTACAATATGACCTTATTGTTTTGCTAGTGCCGTAAAACTCTTACTAAAACTAAATACAGTGTGGGATGATGAGCAGTTGGTCCGTGCCTTCCTCCTTGCCTTGCATCCGCCTATTTTACCGTTACTTCTGTCCACTTAACACTGTTCTTTTTTGGTAAGTGTTTTACTGCGCTTGCAACTGCATAAGGTCATATGAGCGCGCTCTTAACACTTTCTTCTGTTCGGTATATCTTTTTATTTACTTTACCCTTAATTTGTTCTTACTTCCGCCCATTTTTATCTCATTTCCATCTTCTTTTCCCTGACGTTCGTCTATTTTTCTGTTACTTCCGTGTTCTGTACCCATACTTCCGTCTATTTTCCTGACACCCTCGTCTTCTGTACCCATAATCCCGTCTATTTTTCTGTTACTTCCGTGTTCTGTAGCCTTAATCTCGTCAATTTTTTTTGTGTTACTTCCGTGTTCTGTACCCACACTTAAGTCTACTTTTCTGTTACACCTGTCTTTTTGTATTTTTAGCAAAAGGTCAAGTACCCTTCACTTTCTGAAAAATTCATTGGAGACTCTTTCATCGTGGATGGTTGGAGGGCGCCACTGGCAAGTCCTACTTTATTACTTTCCCCCTCTGTTGTTTCTGTCTGTTTTACTTTTTCTCCCAGCGCTAAATGACCATTACTGTAGCAATGTACTTCTCTTCACCTAAACAGATAAGCTCACAGACACACGAACACAGTGGATGGTTGGCCGGTGCTCTGGTGTGGTTTATTTCTTCTTTCCTATCAAGCGTCTATCGTCTTTATCTCCCCTCCTTCTTTTTTGTGTATGTTATTCTATTGTAACTCCTCTAATCTTCGGCACCTATATGACCTTATTGTGTTGCAAGTGCCGTAAAACTCGTACTAAAACTAAAACACAAACACACAAACAAAGAACCAACCAACCAATGAACCAAACAAAGCTCTTATATCTTTTACAGTTTGTGGTTACTGGCACTCTTTCACCGTTATCGTAAACATTCTCATAAATGTTGTACTTACAGAAGACATTAATTCCACCACGACAGAGCTCAATGTTTTGCTTATTTATTATTTAGCTTTCTTAATGGGGCCGATATTGTGCTGAATCGCATTAAGCTTTGTCTGTCTGTCTGTCTGTCTGTCTGTCTGTCTGTCTGTCTGTCTGTCTGTCTGTCTGTCTGTCTGTCTGTCTGTCTG